AGAGAAAGATGCAAAGAGAAGAGCAAGAAGATAAACAGAGCAAAGAAGAGAGAATAATGCTGAGGTTGAAAAACCTTCCAAATACACCCTAAATATTTCTATCTACATCCACTTTATGCAATTACGCCTTTATACCTTACAAAAAAAAAAAAAAAAAACTCTTGTGCTATGGATAATGGGTGTAGAAAGGAATTTTTGGTGAAGGTGAAAAAAATTATTTCCCCTTATGCCTTGTGTGAAATGGCCAAACAAGTCAATTTTGGTATAGAATGTCTTGAAGTGGGCTTTATGTGTAGGTAGAAGACCAAATATCAGCACAACAATACATTGATACATTCAATAGATATTTTGGTTGAGCATACAATAATTTAAAACAAGTTTGCCCACAAGCAAGATATTATTTTAAAACTCAATGCTAAAATAAAAAAAGATATCCCTATTTTTAATTAATGGTAAATATAATTGGCTTCAAATTTAAAGGCCCAATCAAATGCAAGTGTCTGAAAAGTAGGCATTAAGGGAACACAAACAGATGACGGGAAACAATAAGTTCATGAAAACCAAGTCATAGGATAGGCAACAGTTGCTACTAGGAAAACAATGTATCCGTTCCATCAAATTCAAAAAGATCAAGCCACTGTATTTCAACACATTGAAGGAGTAAGAAAATTACCAACCAAACATTGAGTACTCATTCCAATATTAAAGAGATGACTCAAATTAAATTAAATTGTTAAAAATATTGCAGTACAAGGTTCAAGGTTGATAGCATCCTAAGATTCCACTTTATGCCATTTCCATGGAGTGAGAAACCTAGTACTGAATAAGAAGCCCATATCTAACCCCACCCTCAAATGCCCTGTTGTTGAGAGTGAGAATTGAGAGTCGAAGAGGGCCAAGGCAGTGAAAGTGAATGTGAATGCGGATGGGGTTGAGGACACGTTGAACAAGACTACTACAGCTACTACTTGTATTACTTTTGTTTTGAAGAAGGTGTTTTTTTAGAGGTTGTGGAGTGCTAATGATGACCTTGCGATTCTCTAGGGTATTATTGACTACACTGCCACCAAAGGTGTGGACCCTTTTACCGACATGAATGCTTTTTTTCTTTTCATTAAGGATCCTATTCATGTTCATGATACCAAGACCCAATTTTCCGAGAAAGTCCGCAAGTTAAAGAACAAATACAAGACCAATGCCACCAAAGCTAAATTTCCCTCCAACCCCCATGACCAACAACTCTATGATTTGTCCCAAAAGATCTGGGATTTTCAAACTAATGCTGCTAAACTTGATACCACTAACAATAACAAGGACATGGTTCATGGGAAACAAATTCTAAAAAAGGGTGCTCTTAGCAAGATGGCAGAAATTGAAAGAGAATTGAAGAAGCTCTAAATCTACCAACTTCAACTCTACTTGAGGACGGTAGAATTGATCCGCGGGCAAACAAAGCTATTTCTTTAATCCGTAAAGTAAGATAACTTATGGTTTTTGGTTTGATCTTGACTGATATAGAAAAACTAGAAGAAGAAGACAAGTTTTTTTTTGTTTGGGTAGGAAGGAGTTTGATTAGTACTTAATTGGTTATGGACATGCAACATTTTTTTGTGTTATTAAGACATTAGGGCAGGTTTTACTTCTAGTAAGGTATATTATGGCTTTTGGTTTGTTGACGATTGATGCACAAATGAATGATGGTTTTGGTTAATTGTTTTGTTTTTGGTTGGGGTTTGGTAAATTAACTGTAAAATCCAAAATTTTATGTGTAGAATTATTTTTGGTTAAAGTAGTAATTAAATTAATTTATATGGGTCATTTTAGTAACATCAAGGAATTAGTTATGAGGTGGTTTTTTTTAAAATTTTTATTACTTAGATGGTTAAGTTTGTAATTTTGGGAGATTGGGTTATAGGCCCACTTGGGCTTTAGGTCTTGGAAACATAGAAGCACAAACAAATAGAGGTAGTGATGTTGTTGTGGCTGCTGCGGCAGATCTAGCAATAGAAAAAAAAAAAAAAAAAAAGGAGAGAGAAGAAGAAGAAGAAAAGAAAAGAAAGAAGATTCATAGATTGGTGACTTTGATCTAATCATCTCTTGGAGGTAAGATTTGTTTTTATGGTACTCCTAACTATTTCTTTAGACATAGTATCTTGTATGTTGATTGGGTGTATGTATTTTGGGGTTTTGGAATTTACTTGTAGACTATAGGATTAGATTAGTACATTATAAAGAAAAGAATGATAGATGCATCATGGTGATCAATAATAATTGTTTATGTGGTATAATATTTTATGAGGTTTGTGAGATTGAGATGGATCTTGGTAATTTGAGATTAGCTTGGAACTTGGGTGCGAAATATTATTTAGCTGTTTGAGGTAAGTAACCCTCTATCACTGTTGGTTCATT